GAGAGAGAGAGAGAGAGAGAGAGAGAGAGAGAGAGAGAGAGAGAGAGAGAGAGAGAGAGAGAGAGAGAGAGAGAGAGAGAGGGAGAGAGGGAGAGCACCGTCAAAGCAGTAGAACAACAGGAAGGACATGGAGAAAGGAGGAGGAAAACGAAACAAGTTAAGCAAACAAGACGTCTTTTTTTCAGAGCAAATGAACTGCCTCCATAGCATTTCCCTATTTTCAAAACGAAGCACATTCAGGGAAGGTGGTTGCAGGAAGACATGGAATCTCAGATGGGTCAAAGATTGTATTCATCACGATATCTGCATGTGTCTTTAGCACTCTTTCAAACAACATCTTCTTCCTTTCCGTCACTCTGTCCATGCGCATACTACTCTTGAAGGTGCTGCGAACGCTAACGGGTGTATCTTTCCATTGAGGAGAAGGCTTTGCAAGATCCTGCTGCTCCACAGCAGGCTCAGAAGCAGCCGCATAGTTGAAATCATCGCTGTGGCCAGCCTGACCTCCCCGTCCTTCCCTCTCATCTTGCTCTGCACACGAAGCAAGTTCGGCAACGTTGCTCTGGGCAGGTCCTGCGCTTGTTTCCTCCTGTTGCGGTGCATTGCCCGAGCCCACCGCCAAAGCTGGATTTGAACCGACGACTTCTGACGGTTGCTTTGTTATCTGCTTGTTCAATTTCCCCTTTTTGTTTACAGTCCTTGATGCGTGCGATCTTGTGTCTGTGTCGCCCGCCTGCCTTCTGTGCCGGTGCCTAACTCCTGCACCGCCATTAGCGCTCGTTCCTTCTCTCAGCGAAGCCTTGCTCGCTCCAGTGGAACGATCGTCTTGGCTTCCTGATGATAGCGGCGTGGACGTTGCCCGAAAACGATTGAAGAAGTCCAGAAATCCTCCCCTTTTTAGTGCCTTGAAGACCGACTGCCGTGCCTGATCGGCCAAAGCTTGAAGGACTCTCTCCCACTCCTCTTGATTGCAAGTCAAAGGGTCGACCTCTGGAAACAATCGCCTCCGTGGCGGGCGGTGCTGAGCTGAAGTGGCGTCGACATTACCGCCATCTTTTTCAAAACCTTTGCTGTTAGCCTCCCCCCCAAAACCTTTTCTGTCACTGAAACCACTACCTTGGGGCCATTCCTCGAATTTCCTAGACTCTCTGCCATGAGCCTTATGTGGCTTGGGGGCAGGGACGTTGGATGCTGTTGCAGGCTTTAAGGAACCGCGACCTGTTTGGTGAGGAGGGCGTTGTGTCCCCGCCTCGCCTCGCCCTTTTCCGCCCGACAACGTTTTTGCTGCCTCTCCCCTCATCTGCTCACCAGATTTCCCCTCCTCTCCAGGAGATTTCACCTCGCCTTGTTTCCGTTTCCCGTCGCCCTTCCTTTTTTTGACCATGGTTCTTATTGACTCGCTTCTTCCGCCAACAAAAGCCGTTTTGCTGCGGGAGTTTTCTCTCCCGGTTGCTCTGCCCGCCTGCGCTTGGGAGGGCATGGCATCAGCACTGTCATCGGCAGCAAGAGCTGCAGCGGCAGCAGATCGCCCGATCGGTGACAGCAAACGATCGCTGATCTTTCTCAACCGTTTCATGCTGATCGCTCTACGCTCGCCCTGGTCAGTTTCAAAAGACCAATCCTTTGTATTATTATCATTCTTCCAATTCGCAAATAGCTTTTTGTTCTGATCCTGATCTCCGTACTCATTTCCCTCAGAACCCATTGACAAGAAAACACCCCGCTTTTCCATGCGTTCGCGGTCTCCGAGGCCTTTCTTTGGCTGGAGAATCCTTGCGCTGCTGCCGACTTTGTCACCCCTTCCAGCGGCAGACTGCTGTGATGCATTGCCATTGGGCTTCTTCCCACTCTGAGGAGGAGTGTGCTTATTGTTCTGATCCTTCTTTCTCCTCTTGGCCTTACCGCTGCCCTTTGTTATGCAAGTGTTCGACATTTCGATTTTGTTCTGAAAATTGCGGTCGTGATCGTAGGAGTTACCATCCATGTCAGTCGTGTCGACATTGGCTTTATGAACTCTGTTCTGCTTGTCGTTTGGATCCAACAGCTGATCCATACTAGATCCAATGGCCTCAACAGTACTCCTGTCGTCTGGTACGTGAGATCTGGGCCTCATTTCACCCCCAGGACCAGATCTGTTAGCCTCCTCCCCAATGGCCGTCCTTCCAGTTGCTTCCCTCCCACACAATCTCCATGGTCTGTATAGATCCGAGGTTCCGGACCAGCTATCGACTGTCGCGACACTACGCTCACCAGTGCTTCTTGAGACCTCCCATTCGTTTGCTGCCCCGCTGGCATCGATCTCCAGATCGGAGGCTTGCATACTCCCCTCTCCGTTCTGTTTATTTGCCTGCCTCTGCGCCCTGCCTGTACGTCTGGACGATGCAGCACCGCTACTTCCAGATGCTGATGATCGCATGGACCCACCGTTTATCGCTGAGAATCGGCCGCTCGGCAGTCTCGGCATCACGGTTCGTGGGCTTTCGATCTTCGATGAGCCTCCTGTTACTTTGCTGCCTGTTCTTTCCGAGTCGCCCTGGGATTGCCACGATGGACGAGATGCGTTCGCTGATGTTACAGCATCCAATGGATGTGCATTTGCAGACGATACGGCGTCGGCTGCACCCCTCAGCCCTGGCAAGGACTTTGCGACTGACTGATGGGTTTGTGATTCTCCCAATTGGGTGGCGGCGGATTGGCTTACGTCTCGAACATGAGAAAACAGCTGCGTGGAACTACGGCGGCTTTTCGCCTCCAAAGATGTGGGCGATGCTCCTGTGAATAGACGGTTTTCTGGTTGTAATGGACGTACTACTCGTCCATCAAGTACCCCTTGAGGATGGATCGGTTCTGTGCATCCTCGATCAAGTAGTGGCTGGTTCGTCAGTTCCAAAAAACTGGCTTGTTCGGCAGAAGTTACGGCATCCACCTGCCCAGGTAAAGTGGCCGTACTTGCAGTAAGTCGCTTGCTGCGAGCTAGCTCGCTCACCGCATTTAGTCGAGGTGATTGGTGCGGACGCTCTACCGACTCGATATCGAAACTTCCAGCCTGTCTGTGGCTGTTGCTGTTGCTGCCACCCACCTTCACTGGTGCCAGTGTCAGCCTAACAGGAGCAGAGCGAGGAGTGATGCTCCGACTGCGTGCTCTTTCGCTCTTGCTCATGTGTTTGACGAGATAGGTCTCTCCCGACGCTGGGACCAGGGACTCTGGGGCCAGGGTTGTTTCCGGATGCCATGATTGTGCCCCAGCAGCGGCTTTTCTTTCAGCTTTCACCTGGGACTGGCGTTTCTTTGGCACAGTCATTGGGGGCTTGCCAGAAGCCGGGGGACTGGAATGAGGCCTCTGAATCGTGCTCTTCTTCTTTGCATAACGACCTTGCTTGGATGATGCAGTGATTTGTCTGCCTTTGGCTTCAGACGCTTGTCTGCCTTTGGCTTCAGACACTTGGCTTGTATCGGAGCCTTCTCTTCTCACTTTTTTCTGCTTCGCATTCGCCAATGAATGCCCCATTCCCTCCGTCTGGTGCACATCGAAGGATGGCCGGAGAAGTGCTCCCAGCTCAAGTGGCTTGACGATTGGTCGGGCTTTGACGGTCGTTGCTGGTTCTTGGTTCTCCTTCGACTGGTCCTGACAAGGACCGGTGAGTTCATTATCACAGATGGGACCGTCTTCTGTTGTTGGAACCCAAGCAGGTATCCTGTCCCTTGATTTCGACGTCTCCTGGTTTTGCAAGGTATTCCATTCTCCTAAGGTGTCAGAAGCCTGCTGCTCCTGCCAGCGACCTGATGCAGTAAATGGGTCTCCTGGGGTCATACTGCACTGATCTGGCTGCTGCTGGGTGATTGGTGTAGCATGTGCACCTTGCCTGCCTGCCATTGGTCCTGCTACTTTATATGAATCCTTTGCCAGGGGTGAAAATGTCGTCCCATCGAAGGATAGGGGGTTAGAGGTGGAACCGATCACTTTGTTGTTCGGAGAACTGAGAGGAAGATTGTGTGCTGCTGCCGATGCATCTCCTTCAAGCTGTTTCGTCTGCCCTGTGCGTGCCTGCCTCTTTGCGCCCTTGCTTTTCAGACCAGACAGCTGCTCACCCTGTTCCAAATCGGGCTGCGCATCTGCGTGCACCAACTGGGATATGGAAGACGTATTCATTGCATGACTGGCCACTTGATTCTTCTCACAATCCGAGGAGTTGACATTACGAACCAGTAGGGTATGCTCGAAAGTTATATAAATCTTCTTTTCACTTTTTCTCCTGCCCCTTCTCCTCCTCTGCCACTGCCTCTCCTCCTCGTCCTTCTCTGTCTCCTCCTATTCTGCCTTCTTCTTTTCTTCTTTTCTCCTCCATCTATTCCGTCTTCTCCTTTCCTCCTCCTCCTCCTCCTCCTCATTCCTCTACTTCTCCTCCTCCTCCTCCTCCTCCTCCTCCTCCCCCCTACTTTTCCTCTTCCTTCTCCTCCTCCTCCTCCTCCTCCTCCTCCTCCTCCTCCTCCTCCTCCTCCTCCTCCTTCCCTGCCTTAATTCTTTTTCTGCTAGTTCTCCTCCTCTTTCTCCTCCTCTGCAATCTCCTTTTCTGCCTAGTCCTCCTCCTTCGCCTGCTTCTCCTCTTCCTCCTCCTCTTCCCCCTCCTCTGCTCTCTCCCTTTTTTGTCTTTCGTCCTCCCCACTGCATTCTCCTCCTCCTCCGCCTCCTCTTTTGCCTTTTCCTCCTCCCCCACTGCCTTCTCCTGTTCCTCCTTGTCCTCCTTCCCCCTCCTCCTTCCGTCTCATTCTCCCCCTCCCCCTCCTCTCCTCCTCCTCCTCTGTCTGCTCTTTGTCGTTCTCCCCCCCGCCCACCTCCTCTCCTCCTCCTCCTCTCTGCTCTTCGTTGTCCTCCTCCTTTGTATTATTATTCCCCTCCTCCTTTGCCCCCCCGTACTCACCCGGGTTTAAATGCGAACAAATGAGGCCCTTCATGATGATATAGCATCCACCAGGGCTTCTTTTTTTTTTCTTTTTTTTTTTAATGTACATATGAGTGATGAGCAAATATCACAACGTATGAGATCTTTCTTACAAAAAAAAAGAAAAAAAAAAGCAATGTATGAGATCCACGAGCAAAGTGCTGTGCTCGTTCTTGTTCATCCTCTCAACGTCTGCCTACATGCCTACATGCTCAACCAACCAAATGACAGAAATGCCGTTTCGACCTTCTTGTTTCTTGTTGCGATCACAATGTCAATTCAACACTCCTGTTGCAGAGCGCCGGGAAATAGAAACTGAGATGAATAATAATAGGGATAATTTGCAAAATGCCCCCATAAGTTAAGAATCTTGAGATATATGCGAAAAGGCCCCTAAAAGATGTGGGAAGGGCGGAATGCCCCTCTGACAAAAAAACGAATTGTGTGAAATACCACTGGTGTCGGTTGGACCCCCATCTTTGCAAGACATCCCTACCGGGTACGGTCCAACTTTCTAAAATGCCCCCCTAGTACTTGCCAACTTTTCCTAGGCGCCACTGCAAAAGGCCAAGGCCCAAACAGGGAGGTCCGAATTGCAGAGTTGTACACCCGCCTGACAGGGGAACAGTACAAGGATTTCGGCCCAAAAGGGCATATTCTGCTCTACCCACATCTTTCAGGGGCATTTTGGCAAATATCTGAACTTATGAGTGTATTTTGCAAATTATCCCATAATATTATATGATCGCCTACAGTATGGATTAAACCACCGGTACATCCGAGCGTCCGTTTGCCTTAGCAGATCTGAACCGTGCGCCAAGCGTTGCTGAATTGTCAGCGGCGCACTCTTTTGAATTAGCAGCTTAGCAGATCTTGGCATGGCGGCGGGTCTTCCTCCTCAAAAACCCGGTCTCAGTACGCGCATAGTAGAGCATAGGAATACAATAGCCAACGTCATATTCGAAGTTGAGTGAGGAATACAAAAGCCATCATCATATTGAAGATCGAACGGCTCGCAGAATAAACCACATCAGTAGGGGTTTTGTCGAATCTGATTCAAAGAGAGCTGAAGGGACAACTAACATAGAAGATGATCATGATTGCCAGCACCGGGTTTTGTCGAACGGCTCCCAAAAGTTCAAAACAGCCAGAAGACAGGATGGTAATGTACGCCTCATTCACTGTGAAAATTAACAAACCAGGGACTCGCAAAAGTCCTCCTATATGTTCCTAGCTGGTTGTACTTTTGATAATTATGGGAGTGGTGGGTGTTCGGATGATGATGATTGTGAATCATTTACGATGATCGTCACCCTCTTGCGGCATCACCATACTCCAACCGTTCTGTTTGGTAGGGGGAGACACTCAGACAACATACGTGGGAGATGCACACAATGCAATTGTGTGCACATGTGTGTGTGTGTGTGTGTGTGTGTGTGTGTG